GGAAGAGCACAATGATAATACCAACATGGGCCAGCGAAGCAACATCCTCCACAACTAGACTGAAGAACAAAACGACAGCAACTTGTCTGTTCCCCTTCCCCAATTCCCAAATGCTGTTCTCCACCCCCAATTCTCCAATAAAATCTTAAAAAAAAAAGTCATCTTAATTTATTTTTCTATCCCTTATCTCAATAATCAAAGACCTTACAGAATTTTCCATTTATTACCATGACGGTTTGCTACATTAATTGACTTCCTTTTTATCTAAGTGGTTGTAGGATTCTTAACCAGTAAGAGTTTTTTAGGGCTGCATATGTTCAGACCTTTAAAGGTTGCCACATAATTAAATTTTAATATATCCAGTGTTAACATTTCCTGTGATAATAATATTGATTCTTTTTTCACATCCTTATTTTTCTTGTGCACAGGGATATGGGGGATCAAAACTTAGCTCCTTATCTCTTGGTCAAGGCCAAGGGCCCATAGCTATGAAGATGTTAGAAAAAGCTGTCAAGGAAGGCACATGGGTTGTTCTTCAGAACTGTCACCTTGCCACCTCCTGGATGCCAACCCTCGAGAAAGTTTGTGAGGTAAAAATGCAAGTTTATTTTCTATTAGCTTGTAGTCCCTCAATATAATTAGCGACATACATGCCATCTAAGTAGCTCCATTCCTGTCCTCTAATTTTGAGGCTTGCCGGTGAGTAACGTGGCTGCATCATAGGAGGGATGGGCTGGCACTGGGAACTAGACGACGGACTAGAGAAGAGCACACATCGGACCTTGCCGAATCCCTCCTAATAGGGGCAGAGGCTTATCCAGCGAGTTGCAAATATCCGTAATCCAGAGAAGCAGCCTCAAAGATGACTGTAAACCACGGGATCAACAGGAACGAATTTACTTTTTTTTTTTTAACACTGTGATAGATTTATTTGTTTAAAGACTCACAGTGTGTGGAGTGGAGTAAGTGTGGCAGGCATTTTTTTCCAATTTACTTTTTTACAGTAGTGGACCAAAAACAACAAAGGAGGCTTTCCAGGGTCACCTTCATGTGGCCACAATACACCAAAAGGCTTCACGATGTTGTTCTTTAATTCCTTCTCACCCACTTAGCCAGTGATCCTGCCAGAGAGGATCAGTCTGAAACCAAAAGGGTACTCCATTCACCCTCTTCGCACTGGGTCACGGTACTTCTCAGTTTTTCTGGGCAGAAATTCCAGGAAGAAAGCCCATTCAGCTCCACTGAGTAAACTGAAAACTCAGTACTTGATCTCAACAAACATAGATAAAATTACTTGCAACTCTGGCCCCCTCCTAACTCAAAGTCCCTCAGGCTACTAAATAACCAAGGTAATGATATAACTCGCACTATTCAAACATTCAACTGAAACTTTAAGGAACAGGCTGTATTTTTGTTTATGCCACTTGCTGCTGTTCTGTCTGTATCTCTCCATAGAATGTAAGCACCGTGAGGACAGCGACTTTGTTTTGTTGTCTGCTTTATTTCCAGCACCTTGAATAGGACCTGGCAAGACAATCCATAAATACTTACTGTAGTAGTGAATGACTGTTGCGGCATCATTTAAATCCTTTCAGTGACTTCGCAAAGCATGCGAGACAAAGTTCAAACCCTCACCGTGGCTTATAACACCCCCTTCATTTGACCTTTGCCTACCTCTCGGGTTTCATCTTTGGCCACTTTCCATCTTGATATCCATGCTCTAGCCATTTGACCTTTCATTTTCATGGTATAACACACTTTCTCAAGAATATAGGCCATCAAAACGGGGGTTATTTCTAGCTGAAAAAACTATTCTATTATTTGCCTTACCAACATCTCCTCATCCTTTAGACCCTAGATTAGAGGTTTTATACTCGTACCTCTTTCCTCATGGTTCCTCTGTCTCCTGACCCTGCTCATCACCTGTTGAATTGTATCATATAAACCAATCAGAGGTCATCTAAGAGAGAACAGTCTCTAAAGGATGGTGAACTTGACTCAAAGCCCAGTGAGTCATGTTCCTTCCGTCACTGGGCATATAGGGCAGCTGGAAGGAGAAAAAAATGATGCCCTCACCATTTGTTAAAGAACTTAGGCACCTCTGCATCCTCCTAATTCAGTCATCCCCACCCCTTCACCACATGAATGTCATTTTTTTTTTTTACTAATAAAGATTTGCAATTTTAAAAACATAGATACCACTGACATGGATGATTGGGGAAGGTAGCAGTAGGGAGGGGGACTGAATAGGGAGAGCAGGAAGGGCCCCTGATAATGATTGCTCACGTATACAGCCAGCCTTCAGTGCTGAGTGTTCTGTTATCCTCTGTAATGCAGGCCTGACATTCCCCTGAAACAAATAAAGCTGCTAGGAATATGTTTGTATGCTTCAGGATATGCCAGTTCTTCTCAACTTTCAAAATGCTCTCTTTTTTTTCATCCCTGATTGCTTTATTATTAACATATCCATGTGTATTGCTTATTCTCACAACATGGCTATAGCAAAAAGAAGGGATTATTCTTAGCCAGCTGTAGGGAAGAGAATTATTTCTGTAAATATTTCAGCAACATCAGTGAAGATATAAGATTTTTTTTGGAATGTCTTCATGTTTATGTTAGCCAACTCTGAATAATGTAACACCTTTGTAAACTTTATAGTCATATGATTTAATTGTATCAAGGAGAATGACAATACTCTGGGCCTTCTCAATGAAGTATGTTGTTCCTGGGACAGACTCAGATTTTAAGCCTTCTGCCTTACATTGCAGCTATAAGTGTTACTTTGTAAAAATGCTTCCTTCCACTTCTAGCCCATCGCAGGCATATGTGATCTGGAGACTTCGCATTGATTTTATGTATGCTTTTGTATCTGATTTCTTTCCCTGCAGGAGTTAAGCCCAGAATCAACACACCCAGATTTCCGAATTTGGCTGACGAGTTACCCATCTCCAAATTTCCCCGTGTCTGTACTGCAGAATGGAGTGAAAATGACCAATGAAGCACCAAAAGGTTTACGAGCTAATATCATTCGATCATACCTCATGGATCCGATCTCTGACCCCGAGTTCTTTGGCAGCTGCAGAAAGCCTGTTAGTAATGTCTACGTCTTGTTACCTCAGCCCTGTAAAGCGATTCGAGTGGCCCCTGGTTATCATGGATGTGTGTGCTGAGGAAAACTACAAAGTATTACCTTGTCGGAAAAGTCATGACATGTTTTTTCTGGTTTTCGTTGCAAAAATGCGTCATGACTTTTCCGACAGCCCAATAAATAGGCCTGCTGCACTGCAGTGCACTCGGTTTTGATTACTGATTATGGACTGTGCTGAAGTCAATTGTATTAATATTTTATTTTCATTTTACCACCAGCCTCATTCCTACACAGCTGAGATCTTGTGGGGTGTCATTAATAATGTAGCTTTCTATTTAGAAAGTCAGCTGTAAGCCATTCCCAGTACAGATCTGCAAGGTTGGAGAATCTTGTTTCAGGATATTAACCGAGCTGTTCGCTATTTGGAGCCATATCTTTAAATTAAAATATAAAAATATTTTCTCCATATAACTATAATGTGAGCCAAAATGATTTTACTCCTTGATTGATGGGACTCATAAGGGCCTTTTTTAGCATCACCAGGCAAGCTGGGAAACCACCCACTGCTTTCATGATTAGAATTCTGTGAGTGAATGTCTGTGACCTAAAATTGTTTCACAGCATTTTACCATAATTAAAAATGGAAGAGTTTCTTTTTAAGAGGGGTTATGAACCTCAGTAAGTTTTTTGCCATTAAAAAGCTCACACTCTTGATGTTGGAATATGTTTTAAGTACACATCAAAAGAAAGCATTAAAAATAAAGAAGCATTTTCATTAAACAAGTCTTGGGTACTAAAAAAAAAAAAAGCACCTATGTTTAAAACTAAGTCAGACCTTATCCTAAGCTTCTAAGTAAGACCTGCTGTATGACTAGTTTTTGCATTGATTAGGTCCAGAAAAACAGATTACTGCCACACCAGTGGTGGGCATTTCTACATCTAGTAGCGGGGCAGAAGACTTTTGCAAAATTTTGCTCCCTTTCTTCTAGATCCAATGGCCTTTCCAGTGGTAGTCACAAATTTCAGAAGTCCAGGCTTTTATGAACCCATGGTCCAAACCAAAACCCAGATTTCCTGAAAGGCCAAAGCAGCACATGATAATTTTTCTGTTTTAACTTTTTATTTGGCAATAATTTTAAACTTATAGGAAAGTTGCAAGTATAACAGTTGCACAAAGAACACCCCTATGCCCTGTGCCCATATTCACCTTCTGTTAGTCTATACCATTTGCAGGTAAGTTAGATACATCATGGACCTTTATTCCTAAATAAATATTTCAATGTATATTTGTTAAGAAAGGAGAGATATTATCTTATCCTGCTACAGTTATTATTAATAGTTTAGGATACACTATTGTATCTAATCTACCATTTATGTTCCAAATTTGTTGATTGATTCACTGATGTCCATTAGAGCACGTCCCTGCCCTCTACAGGATCGGTCTAGGGTTAGCGTATGTTTCGTTGCCATGTCTCTTTGCCTCCTTTAATCTGAAATATTTCCTTGGTCTTTGTTTGTCTTTGATGACATTGACAGTTCTGAAGAATTTATCCCCCCACCTTTTTTTAATAGAACGTTTATTATTTTGGACTTGTTTGATATTTCCTCGTGATTAGATTCAGGTTATGCACTCTTCACCAGAATACTATGTAGGTGATGTCGTGTCCTCGGGCTATCACATTGGGGGGGCGCATGATGCCTGTTTACCCCTCGTTGATGACACTACTTTTGATCATCTGAACAAAGTGTTGTCTTATTTCTTCACTGAATAATAACTGTTTTGCCCACTGCAACCAAAAAAATCACTCTGGAGGGAGACATTTTAGGACCATGCAAGTAACCTGTTTCTCATCAAAACCCACCCCTCCCCCAGCCTAGTAGCCACTGCTGATTCTTGCCTGAACCAGTTATTTCCTATGACCATTCCAACTCTAGCACTCCCTCCACATTTGACAGTTGGCACTCTCCTGTCAGCAACAGCCCTCTCTCCTCCCATTCATTTATCTATTATTGGTATGAACTCATGAATTTCTTGGGGGTTTTTTCCCAGTGGTTTACAATTCATTATTATTATTCTTTAAGTCTTTTGCTCAACTTTTCCCAGATTTGGTCAGTGCTCCTTCAAGATGGCTCCTCTGTACTTGTTATAGGTACTATCATTTTATATATATATATATATATATATATATATATATATATAAACAATTTTTTATTATTGTCCCTCTTACTTTCTGGCATAAGAAGCTCCAGGCTCCTCTGTACCCCAGTCCTGAAAGCAGACATTTTTCTAAAGAGTCCTGGTTCCTTTTTAATAGGGAGTGGTGTTAGAGACCAAGATCTAGGTGCCAGATGAGCTCATTGCTACTGCATTGTCTTTGGCTCTTGGCCCTTTCAGTGGAGAGAGTGTAGAAATATATACACATACTTACACACATGTTCATATCTACACATATATACATGCATACAAATAAGTATGTGAGCACATATACAGTCATATACATATATTAGAAGCAATGAGTTCACAGCAATACCTCCAATTTCAGCCCATCTACCCAGGGATTTTTCTTACTTTTCTTCATTCCATACCTATATTTCCCTTCTCTACAGTGAGAAACGTGGCTTCCATAACAATACATTTACTGATTTGCTCAATAATATATCTGAAATAGTTCCAGAATTCACAAAGCATGCTTAGCTTTATTTCCCCCCACCTCTCTGGTTAAATTATACTACTTCACTTTTGTCTCCTACTCTCCCTTTCAATTTTACTCCGCAGGGGAAAGTTTCCCCTGCCCTTGGATAACACTGTGGACAGCCTCAGGGCTTCTCTGGTTCTTGTCAGATTATAAAATGACCTATAGTTATTTTAACTTGCAAAGCCAACCTTGATTCAGAAATCAGAAAGTACAATACAAAATATTAATCAGTACTTCAACTTTTATTCAAAATGTATCTCCCCAGTATCTCAGCTCAGCTCTATAGCCAGTGGGCTTCATGCTGTTGGGGGAAGATGATGGAGTTGGCATCCTTTTTGTGTCTCCTCGTGATAGCTGCTGATACTAACCATTCGGTTCAGAGTGTGTGCAGGGGCGAGGCAAGGAGGGGAAGATGTTCCTGGTCTAGGCTGCTTTGGCTTGGAAATCTCTGAACTTGGCGCTTGTACTTGGGGTTTAAAGCTCACTTTTCTCTTGTGAGTTCTTTTATGGGTTCGTGTTTGGCTGCCCTGCTGGACTCCTCCAACTGTAACCCCATCGTCATTTTCCCCAAAAGTGAAAATTGATTTCCTTACTAGTAGAATCAAGTCTTAAGCCTGTTAGGAAAGATTTCTGTGGCATCCTGCTTTCAAAGAAATATGTTCTCAGCATTGAATATTTACTATATTATCAGCCTCATCAGAAAATCAAAAGTATTCTATAATTAAAAACAGAAAAAAAGACCAAAA